GCTGCTGTTTCCTCTGCAGGTGGAGGCTCAAAGGGTCTGAGCTGCTGGGAACTCTGCAGAATGGATCAGCCTGAGGACCCTGAAAACACTCCCAGTGGGGAACCTGAGAGCCAGAGCAGAGCTCAGGGGTGAGAGGACCATCTCCATCTTAGTCCAGGACTCTGCAGCATGTCAGGGCCTACAGACTGAACCAGCTTCATTCACAGGAACCAGCCAGGACCTGAAACCCAACCAGGGCCAGGACCTGAAACCAAACCAGGGCCAGAGAATAAACCAGAACCAGGACCAGAGACTAAACCTGAACCAGAACCCAGCTGTCTGTCTTTTAAGAGCGACCGATCAAAGGAGTATGTTTGGGACTTCAAACGGTGTGTTCCATCAGACAAACAGTGAGTTCAGTTAAATCTTCATCCTGTTTATGATGATTTTTTTTTACATCTGGGTATATTCACAGGAACCAGCCAGGACCAGGAACAGGGCTAGAACCAGGACCTGAAACTAAACCTGAACCAGCACCCAGCTGTGTGTCTTTTAAGAGTGACTGGTCAAAGGAGGATCTTTGGGACTTCAGACAGCATGTTCCACCAGACAAACTGTGAGTTCAGTTAAAGCTGCATCCTGTTCCTGATGGATTTTCTGATTTCAGAATCCGAATCAGAAATATGTTAATCCCATAGGGAAATTATTTGTTTTCCTGTTCCTGATCACTTTTCTGATGTCTGGTTTTATTCACAGGAACCAGCCAGCACCAAGAAAAAGTCTGGAACAAGGACCAGAGACTAAACCTGAACCAGGACCAGAGACTAAACCTGAACCAGGACCCAGCTGTCTGTCTTTTAAGAGCGATTGGTCAAAGGAGGATCTTTGGGACTTCAGACAGCATGTTCCACCAGACAAACAGTGAGTTCAGTTAAATCTGCATCCTGTTCCTGATGGATTTTATGATATCTGGAATGTGATCTGATTGTTCTTGGTTCCTCCACAGATCGGCCCAGCAGAGCTCAGAGGCTCCCAGTGGCTCCCAGCTGGACTCCATCTTCAGGGTCTGTACATCTTTCCATCTCCATGCTGCACTCTGTAGACCAGCTGTCAGAGTCCAGCATGGAGCTGAAGTCTGGCTCCATGTTTCAGTCTGATGGACTCATTCAGAGTTTCTGTTCCAGCTGCTGGAGGACAACTTGATCACGTTTGTGAAGGAGGAGCTGAAGCAGATCCAGAAGGTTCTGAGTCCACATTCCCCACCAGGCTCAGAGAGTCAGAGGGAGGCTGAGGATGCAGAGCAGAGGAGCAGCAGGGAGGCAGTGGTGAAGATCACAGTGCACCTCCTGAGGAGGATGAAGCAGGAGGAGCTGGCTGAGCATCTGCAGAGCGGTGAGAGATTAAACCTGCTGCAGAAGTCACAGCTTTACCAGCCTGCAGATGTTCTCAGGCTGCTTTACAGGGTTTAACCTTCTCATT